GGGCAGTGGTTTTGATGGGGAGAGGAAATGGTTATGGCCTACATATTTATTAAGCAACCACAAAAGGAGACAGGAGAAGGATGAAGTTGCTGATGACTTCATTTGTTAAATAAAGACCAAATGGTAAATGTACAGGCGAGTCATGACCAACACAAGAGCATATGCTATCAAGTCTGCTCCACGCTGGCATTTACCCCCGTAAAGAACTAGGAACCAACCCCCAGTCAACAAGTTTAAACACAACCCACTCACCTTGCCACAGAAAAGCCAATCTTATGGTGAGCACAAGAGCTAAATAGGTGTGTTATTAAGACTGCTAATCACTTATTAAAGTCTTGAGACTGGGTTTCTGGGCTCCTCATGCTCTGTCTGCAGAGTAAACAGGCAAGTTCCAGGTGAGAGGCAAACAAAGACCAGGAACTCCCGGCTTTTTAACAGCCTGTTCCTTCCATATCACAGACAAAGGTTATAGCGGAAAAGTTGTGTAACAAGAACAGAAACACTTCTCAGGCAAACTCCTCTGAGACACTCTGACGATCTGTGGAAAAAGTTTTGGATGAGTTCCTGGGTCTCAGAAACAAGTTTATTGTTGGATATATCATTTGAGGTTGCCTTGCTTTACTTTTTATAGCATGAAGGCTGCAATTGCTTATATTCTTTTAGATACATACATACATACATATATGCACACATATCTATGTATGTATGTATGTATGTATGATATACATATACATGTATGTATATATATGAAAACCAGTTGTGAAAAAAAATTATTTAAAGGAAAACGCAGATAAGAAGAAAAATTTAGTGACATTAATTATATTAATAAAGAATTCCACTTGGGATTATTGGCTTCCGAATTTTACTTTCCCAGCAGTAACAACTTTGCATTATACTAGACGACCCTAAATTCCTTTTCTGGACTCTAAAAACCTCATAGACAATAAAAGTTTTACCATGAATCTCTTGTTTCCTTCAAAATTCTGCTCAAGCTATGTCTTCTCTGTGAGGCTTCTCCTGACCTCCTCAGTGGTTAGGGCCCTCCTACCAAAATAATGACCTTGCATTTATTTTGTCCATATTGCTACAAGTACACACTGCCTCCCCAGGTAGAATGTAAGCTTCTTGAGGACAGGGAATGTTTCGTTCCTATCTTTGTATTCCCAGTACTTGGCACTTGGTAGGTGTTTACTAAAAATGTGTTGACTGGAAATCCAAAAACTTCTGAAGTTATGAATGGAAGGTCCACTTCATAATATTCAGAGAGGTCTCACACAAGCATCTGTGTGGAAGAATGCCCCTATACCTGACCACCACCTCTTACGTGCTCAGGGTCAAGAAAATAACGTGAGCTAACTCAGCAAATCAGGTAGGATCCAATAGGGTAAAGATGCCTGTGTGACCTTCAACCACAGATGCAAAAAGAAAGGGGGAAAATGCAACGAAGGGGGAAAAAATATATTGTTCTCGTCACAATTAGAACAATGAGTAAAAACAAACTCTTAGCATGGAAGTTGGAAGCCTATTCTACTTGGGCCCTTTCTCTACCCATACTAACAGCTAAATCAAGAAGTGAGAGTTTTATTGTTGTTGTTTTTCCACTACAGAGGGGCAGAGAAAAAGAAAACGGTCAAAGGAAGAAGTTATTTCATGAGGGAATTTAAAATGGCCATTTTTAGCCTTGAAGAATCTTCCTAAAACAATGACAACTATAAACGACATGATTCAGTATGAAAAATATTGTGATATGTACTAAGAAAAATCCATACTCTGTAGAAAGATGGAAATATAATTGGATTTGTCACGTCAAAGTATTTGTATCAGGCTTGCAGATAATATGGAATGACATGCTCCTCTGCTAATAAAGACTAAGTTGGCCAAGTAAATAAACTCTTTTTCTACTGTAAGGAAATACGTGCACCAATGAAGCAATCTTTTCAGCACAAAAGAAACTTAATACCCTAACCACATGAAAAGCGATCTCTATGGGAATAGCAGAGTTGCTAAAATCCAAGTCAGTTTGTATTAAATCATCATGCATGTTTATGTAAAACAGCCCTCTTTTAGAATGACCACCAACAGGAAATCATTTTGTTAAAATCAAAAAAGTGATACCTGTACTTAATGTAATGCTTACTACTAAAAGTGTGAAAGAGAGAGAGGCGGAATGATTCTTTGTTTCAAGACTAGAACTCATCTCATCAGTTCTGTTCAGACTTTTGTAAACATGGTCTCTAAAGGGAAAAACATTACTAGAAGTATAACAAGGAAAAAATGAGAGCTCTTGCATCCTATTTTAAAATAACTCAATTATCTTTCACTGAACAGAGAGAGATACATAAGACAAGGTAAACTTCTGACACCTGTGCCAAACCATTTCATTATGAAAATTAATGCGATTACACTCTTTTGTAACGTATTAGCTCAGCCATTCAAAGAAAGCAAGATGTGTTCCTCTAGAAGCAGGTAATCCAAAAGCCTGTATTTCTACAGGGAAAAGTGCACGAAGACACCCATGGAGTCCTGAACTGAGACAGAGCACTACTTTGAAGAAGCTATTGAAAACTAAAAATGGAAACAAAGGCATAATACATATGCGTTTCTATCAATGTTCGTAACGGTATTCTTGGTGGTAGCTAATAATGAAAAACAAAATGGGTACCCATAATTTGGGGAATGGCTAAAAAATAACTACGTATATGACTATAATAGAATATTATGTAGTACGACATGATGAATATGAAGAATTCAGAAACATAAGGCGAGACAGGGATAAACTGATGAAGAGCAAAATAAGCAAAACCAAGACAATCTACAACAACAGATTTAAAGGTCACTTAAAAAAAGGTATAACTGAATTAATTGAAAACCAACAAAAGTCCCACAGAAAGGCTGCTGAACTCGTCCTCCCTCACCTACCCAGCAGAAAGGTGCTGCACACCGTATACGCTGTCTCATGTGGTCACTGTATCAGACATTTTTGGTTAATTATTTTTCTTTCTCACAAGGGAAAGCTCAATCCGGAGTAGGAGTCATAATGACTATGATATAAAGCCCAAAGACAGCAATAAAACGTTTTTTCAGGGAAACTGTTAAACATTTGCTAGTAGATCACCACAGCTATTTAAGACTACACCTCTACTCCACCCCAGCTGCCACCTCATCTCAGGGTCTCATCACCTCTCGCCCTGTCAGCAGTCCCCTTGCCTTGAAGTCTCTCCTTATTCTAATCTGTCCTCTTCTCTCCTGTAAAGAGGATTTCCCTTCATGTCACCCCACCCCCCAACTCCAGTGGCTCCCAAGTGTCTCTAGGATCAAACACACAGTCTTCTGGGTCAAACTGAGGTAGTATTTGTAAAGTGCTTAGCACAGTGCCTGGCATACAGAGGTGCTTAATAAATGCTCGCCCCTTCCCCCGCCCCCTCCCCACCAGCATTTAAAGTCCGTCACAGCTTATCTTTTTAGTCTTCTACCTAACTCCCCTCAGAAGACTCTAGGATCCAGCTGCCCTGTCCATCTCCCGCTCTGACTCTGCACTGGCTGTCCCTCATTCCCAGAATGCTCTCCCTCTTCATCTCTGCCTCTGATGCCCTGGATTCCTTCAAGACTCAGCTCAAATTCTGCCTTCTTCAGGAAAGGGGGTAATTTGCCAATCCCCTTAGCTGCTGGTGCCTTGCCCTCTGAGACAAACTTGCCTCTGCTCTCTCTATGGACGGCATATGCACCTTGTCATTTCTCTGCCATCTTCATCATTAGATAACGCTCCTTGAAGGAAACGTGTGTGTTTTTGCCTTCCTCTGAACTCCCAGGATCCAGTACGATGAATGGCATATGGTAAGAACCTAACACATGCTCGTTGACTAACTCAGATCTTAAATATGCATCATCCAAGTTAAGCATAACACCGGAATTAAGCATAGGAAATTGGGGAAAAGAGGGAGGAGGAATCCCACTGCGAATCCCACTGCACCAAAGTGGAGTCTATGACAGCTCTGTGTCTGTCAAATGAGGAGTGAGACTACAACTTTCCTAGACGTCCATCGGAAGGGTGCCTCTCTCACTGGAGGGCCAAAGAATCTGGCAGAGCAGATTCCAGATTAAAGAATGGGAACTGCCTTTGAAACCCAAGCCTTCTTCTCCCCGCCCCCTGAATATACCTAGGAGCCAGGAGCAGGTGGGCAGGGTGAACAATTCCCAAATCATGCTAAGAAGTACAGACATAGCACAATTTCACACACAGCTTGAATGTAAAGATCTGGACCTATCAAGGATCACAGGTCAAAAAAGGCCCTGGTGAAACTCAGCGTTAGAACGACAGAAAAAGTACGCAAAAGGAAATCACGTATGGCATACGTACATGTGTAAAAATAAAATGGACAGTATCTTAAAGACTATTTATTTTTAAAACCTGCCACAACCATGGTCTAAAAATACATTAGACAGTTTCCATTACCATGGACAACATCCCAGCTCTATTTATAGAGCCTTTTTGGAAAGATCAAAGCTGAAAGGCCCTTTGATTGGCTGCCTCCCAGGACCCTAATCTTTGTTTACTTTCCATTTACTACACAAAGGCAACTGGGGGGCAGTGTGCCTGGCACCCCATCCCTTGGGTAACACACAGGCCAGACCTGGAGGTAGGCAGACCCGGGGGGGGGAAGAAGTCAGGCTAGAGAAGCTGAAGCTATGAACAAAACTGTGGGGCTCCAATAACTGATATGGATCTGAGGTAGGAAATTCAGCTTTTTGTTCAGACACCATAAACCAAGTCTTTACAGGCTGGTTCCTTTTTTTTTGGCAAGAATAATGTGGGTCAGAGAGCTTAAGTAGATGGAAAAAGAAAACACCCTGAGCCCCAGGGTTCCCAGCCCCGTCTCCCCATCCAAAGCCACTACAAGTCTGGCTTCATGTCTCTCATGATATTTACGGGGATACAGAAGTCAAATACAAGCCACCAAAGTGGTGAATAAAGCAAGCCAGCCGGACGCAGAGGGACTTACTTCAGAGGAACAAGCAGTGCACTTGTCAAAGGCCAGGCTGACGGGAAGGACGTGATCAAACCTTGACAGAAACCCTCGGACCTGAAACAAAACAGTAACACTTCACATGAGACCACAGTGAACAGATCCCCGCCCCCCCCATCCAAGCTTCATGCCTGCCAAGGAGGGGGATGGGCCAGGTGTGGCAACCCAGCCCCGCACTATTCCCCTAGAAACAGAGGTGAATGCAGAACACTGTTCTGCAAGCCCTGGGGGGCAGGGGTGGCTCCATGACCTCGCCATGTTTCTACCATTAAGTTTATCTGCAGGTGTTTGATTTAATGTAAGGCAGAGACACAGCAGTGTTAAAATGCAAGCTGCTCCTAATAAGTAGGAGAACAGCACCACCTGCAGCATAAAACTCTTGACTGCAGTTGATTTAAGAAAAAAAGTTTGAGGGGAAATCCAAGAAATGGGTTTCAAAATCTAACATCTAAAAAAAAAAGGGATTTAGATCAGTGGTGTCAGACTCCAACAGCAATGGGGGCCACTAACCATACATAAGATCCCCGGGGGCAGCATCATGGCTTATTTTAAAATGTAATAATTATCTGTTTTATGCTATTATTGCTCTGCTACATATTTACCAATTACATTTCAATCTGGTTCGAGTGTCCTGGGCTACATGGGGCCCACCGGCGGAGTATCCAACACTTCTGCTTTAGACCACTAGATACCTCTGAAAAAGTCAATTCATATTGCCAAATGGCACGTGCTGATCCATTCTTTGTACCATAACTGAGAAAGCATCCTTCATGGGGGGTTAGGGAGGATGGAATAGGGGAATATAAATTTTGAATGCTGCATCAAAAAATTTTTATTTATTGATAAGCTTTATTGAACTTTTACTTCCTCTTTTTTTTTGTTATAAAAACGGATCTCTTGGAAGGGCTGAGGAAGGGAGAAAATGGGAAGTGTAAGTGATATGAAAACAAAAGATATCAATAAAATTGTATTTTTTTAAAAATGCACTGTTATAAGTAAATCATCTTCAAAAACATTAAACTTTTCAAAAAGCAAAAACAAACAACAGAAAGTGCCAATGGAACAGCACATGCTTCACTTTTGAGTTTGGCTAATTACATGTTGGCATTTCCCAATCTGTAAAATAAAGGGTTAGGTGATCACTGGAATAGGTGATCTCTAAAGTCCCCTCTGGCAGATAAGTGATATAGTAAAAAGAGCTCTGGACCCTGGTGACAAGAAGATCTGAATTCAAATTCAACCTCAGACAATTACTAGCTGTATGATGCTGGGTAAGTCATTTAACTATTCTCAGCTCCAGTTTCCTCATCTGTAAAATGAGGACAACAATTGGTTTGTTGTGAGGATAAAATATTTGTAAAATGCTTTATAAACTTTAAAGTGCTACATAAATGAACATTCAACAAGCCTACATGTACGCTTACAGCAAATATCAAACTGTTCTATTACTAGTAGAGAACTCAGTATTGGAGGGATATACCTGGAGGAAGTGATCATCACAATATTTTAATATATTTGGTGTTATGCAACAAGATCTAAAATTAATCTAAAATTGAAAGATGGAGTTTGTCTCTTTTATAAATGACCAATGATTAATTAGGAATGATGGTCATCAATCTTGGGAAATGAGGCAGTCTCTCAGTTCCACATGCCTCAGCACCATGCTGACCATTTCCCAACGCCAGGCCCAAATCCTTGGTGGCTGCCAGAGAAGGGCAGGGCAGAAAACATTATGTTCAGGGCCTCAGTGCCTCGGAGTAGAGCCAGAAGAACTGTTTACACAAGGGCCACAATCATGTAAAGGAAAACAGAGCTGAGAGACGTAAGAGTTCAGCTCAAGGCAGTGGGGTCTGAGCACGGCGCATGTCTCCCTCCTCTTGGCAGAGGGAGTGGGTGGGCTGCACATGCAGAGGGAAGTGTTCTATGGCTAGATGGAGCCAACGGGATACTTGGTTTTATGAAAGTATATTTGCTCCAAAGAAGGGTTCTGAGGGTTCTTTTAGCAATCAAGAGGAGAAGAGGGAAGGTTGAGTAACAGCAATACAAAAAAGAAAATGAAAAATGAATAAAACATTTATTTGAAAATTAAATTTAAATTTAAAAAATGCAACATCTCAGTGCACAATACCAAAGAGAGGTTAATAAATAACAATCTAAGCGGCCTATAGCAATATTAATCTTATGACAGGACTTGGCAGCTATGGACATAAAAGAATGTTGGAATTGAAAGATTAGTTAGAACCCCTTGTACCTCAAAACAGAGTCTTAATAGCCTTTTACATTTACTTTCAGTAAGCTATGTCTTCTGTATCACAGCTTGCCACATTTTACCTTAATTAAAAAGCATATATAGTTATCTTTAATAGTTTTAATCTCCAAAAGCTTACCATTTTTTTGTATGGACACAGAATACTGAGATGCCTCTGCTAAAACAGTTCACGTTGGGGCAGAGAAGGGGGGGGAAGGGGGGAGAGAGCAAGAAGAAGAAAAGAGAGGGAAGAGGTGGGGAAGATGAGATGGGGAGAGAAGAGGGAAGAGATGAAGAGAGAGGGGGGGAGAGAAGAAAATAAAGGAAGGAGGGGGAAGAGAGGAAAAGAGGGAAATAGGAGAGAAAAGAAGGGAAGAGAGGGGAAGAAAGAAAGGAGAGAGAAGGGAGAGAGTTGGAAAGATAAGAAGGAGAAAGGAAAAAAGATGGAGAGAATGGGGGAGAGAAGAAGAGGAGAGAGGAGAAGAGTATTCTGGTTAGGCAGCCTCTGCTATACAATCATCTGTGCAAAGTTGGTGCCCCCAGACACCAGTTTGATTAGGAAGAGGTGAAAGTTTTCTGAAGGAATAGAGTTTAACAACAACTGCAAGGACACTAATATTCATAAAGCTGAGAAAAGAAGGCCTAAAGCTAAAGAGACCTGATTCCAACTAGGGGTAAATTAAAATAGAAAAGCTCCTCTTGAGGCACCTCAAATGAATGACCTCCTTTTTTCCATCTCAGGTATCTGAGAGCTTAACCAAGGTCCAAACCAAAAGGGAGAAAAATCCATTTCTACAACTAAATACAATAAAAGTTCTTGTCTACAGTACTGCAATTCAAATTTTCCTTTTATTTCTCTCCCTCTAGCCCCTATCATTCTTTAATCTCTTATGTTGCTAACTACACTGTTTCCCCACAACTCTTACATAGAAACAGAGAAATAAGGAGCAGGTAGAAGTGAGCCCCCAAACATGTCTTCTAGCCCTTCTTTACCATGCACAGTTCCCCTCCAGTGAACCCCCAGGCAACAGGGTTTCTGAACCTAGGTGTAGCATCGTCCCCCCTGGGCAGCAGTATGGTCAAGCCTATGGACCCCTTCTCAGAATCATATTTTTAAATGCATAAAATACATAGATGGACTCAGGGTACAGAATGAGACATACATTTTTTGGACACGGTCAATTCTGGAATTTGTTTTGACTGTGAATATTTGTTAAAAGTGTTCTGCTTTTCTTTTTTTCCCAATGGAGAAGGGTAGGGAGAGAAAACAGATTTTTGCTAATTAAAAATTTTAAAGAATAAAATACAAAGTACTACAATGGAGACCGATTATTGAAATAAAGATCTTTTCTTCTCATCCAAGTTCACGAACTCCCTGAAATCTGTTAAGAATCTGTGGCCTACAGAATCTTACCAGGTTCTTAACACCTTTAGAGATGCCTCCCAAGCCAATGCACACTTGTAACCTTTCCTGGCAAAGACCTCTCAGGTGAGTTCCAAACAACACTGAATTCCATCACAATGTGAAACCCCATATATCACTCAGTCCACCACACACTGTTAGCCTGTTGCTAGGTACCTGCCCCTTGTTTTACCTAATGTGTACTTCACAAAACCAATTAACAGCATTAGGAGGGCATCTCTAGATTTGGCCAGCTGTCCTGAGATCTCAGCCCTTGCTATTTTCTATCTGGTGGCTCACATCAATCACTCCCCAAGATGGAGCCCAAGTCATTATCGACGGTCCTTTGTGACTCCTCCCTCTGTAATCTTTCTTCAAACCGTAATTTCCCTCCCACCTCATTTTACAACCCTAAAGTTGGCCTGGTACTGCAGAAGCTTCTTTCCCCTCTCCCACCCCCAATCTAGGTATTTAAACACAGACTGAACTCTAACTAAAGGGAGCGAGTGTTTCCTCCCCTTACTGAGATGCGTGGATTGAGGATCCACCATATGACTCTATGTTCTACCCTCTAAAGCAGAAATGGTGGTAGTTGGCCATAATAAATAATTAAAGCAGATAATGAAAATCAAAGAGATATTCAATGTCTTTCAGTCGAATGTTATCTCATTACAATGGCAAGCTTGGCTCCAAAGAAAGGCTGAGAAAATGTTCCTCTTTCCTTTCGCTCTGGAGGCTATGGATGTGGTATACTGCATGTGCAAAGACACTGTATTACCTAGTGCTTTATTTCCTTTCTCTGTAACATGGTATGGCTTACTGGGTAAAGAAAGAAGGAATATATTTGGAGAGGAATGCGGCTAAAACAAAAGATATAAAAAATTAAAATAAAAATTGTCTTTTAGGATTCTCAGGGTGGATAGAGAGAAGAAGACCTGAGTTTAAATCCTGCTTCTGACGTATATTGGCTCTAAAACTTTGAAGTGGCAAAACGGAAGTTGATCTGTATTGGTAGAGGGAGTATTCTTGCACCAATGAATTCATGAATCTAGTTTACAACAAGAAAAAAGTTGTTCTTAATGGTGAACAAGGTTAGAATATATATGTTAGTTATGTGGAAAAACAAAACATACATATACAAAACAATAAAATGTTCTTCAGACTTGCTCTCTTTTGATCTTGCCTTTGCCCACTGTGTTTTTCTCTGTCTGTAGCCAGTGAGATAACTGCAGTAGCCCTAACTGGGCTCATGAGTAGCACATAGGCATTAGCTGTGATTCCAAATGCCTCCCTAAAAGACAAAAACATCTACAAGGGGGAAGAAGAGAGAAGAAGAAAAGAGGTTTTGTTTTTCTTAACAACACACACACACACAAAATTTCAAAAAAGGATCCATTCATCTCCTCC